AATATAATATTTTAAGGTTTTTTTTGTCAGAGTCTCTGAGGAACTGTTACGTGTCCACCTCACTAAAAAAAATCAGCCAACACAATATGGGCCATTTAATAAATATGGCCAACACAAAAATAAATGTATAAGGCCCACGCAATATGGTGAAGCCCATTTAAGGCACAATATGGATCGATGAAGGGAGAGAGATACGGCTCGGATCTTATCATCGCCGCCGAGATCGAAAGGGGCNTTGAGCTCNAAAACCGCCTGAGATTTGGCCATGGCAGTCACCGGATCTGAGCAGAAGAAGAGGAAAAGTCCGGACGATCAGTTTGACGGTCACCGAATTTCTTTGCTTCTGAAATGATTATGGTGTAGTCACCGGCGAACTGAAGCAACTGCACTGGCAAGAGTACCGTAATTCACCGCAACCCGCCGTCGTCTCCTCAGTCCGGATTTCGGCGTCGTCCAATCTAAAGGTAATGCTCTTGAGATTTTGAGGTTCCAAATGCTCTTTAATCAGGTCGTTTTATTAATCTAATGGAATGGAAAGGTGAGAGATGCTTATGTACATTCAGGGAGCTACTCACACTATATTGGAGAGTCAATGTAGTTCTGAATATTGTTTCAAAGGCCAATGTCCATACTCCTGGAAGTGGATATGTCCTGCTACATCATGTGATGGGAGAAACAGATGGAGAGCGTAGTGTTTGGTCGTATGTATCTGAGTTATTGAATTNTCTTTTATTNTAGCTGATTGGCAATGTANAAATAGNGACGTANGCTTTNCATAAGTNTGGATGCATAAGCAGTTCAAGATGATATCTTTAGTAGCTGATAAGAAATCATTTGTAGTTACGTCGAAGGTGGAATTGGCTCTGTCTCCATGGCTATAGCTAATGCTGCAAAAGAAGCTGGCGCTCAGGCTCAGATTTTCACAAACGCAGAGGCATTTCATTTCAAGATCATTAATGTAGGAACGCAGGCTCAGGCACTGTATTCCTACATTATGCAGAACAGTGGAGTTTTAGTTATCATCTCTGTAACTGGAAAGTAGAGCTGCTTAGTAGTTCAAAATTGTTTTCCAGGTTTCTGAAGTACAAACTGAGGATTCTGGCATCGTGAAAGGGGTTAGTTTGTCTTCATGATTACTGGATGAAGTGAAAAACTTGAATCAAACTCATCTGACATTTCTTGGTACTAAGGTTTTACTTGCTGACGGTACACGGGTGGAGTCATCTGTTATATTGTCCAATGCAACCCCTTACAGAAATTTTGTGGTAAATCTTTCATGTCATCTTTTGTCTACTTGTAATACTCCCATTGTATGTCAGTCAACATAGTTCTTTCTGTTTCGGATGACAGGAGCTGGTTCCGGCTAATGTTCTTCCTGAAGAATTTGTCGGTGCTATAAAGAACTCAGATTACAGCTCGGTAAGCATTTCATGTCAAGTTCCTCTTTTCTCTTGATCGAGGAGAAATAAATCTCTGTAGAAACCTATATGTTTTTTTTTTTTACAAATTATTCCATCTAGCTAAATAGTTAATGATTAGCTGTTTAAATGTTGTGAACAGGCAACTACCAAAATAAACTACATATAGATTTTGTGATTAATAATTAATAGGAGTATTCTTGATTATGTGCCTTACTTTAAAACCCTTAAATTTGGTTGGAAATTTTTTATAGAAATTGACTAATTCAAATATATTATCACATTTACTGTAAATTGAAAA